TAATAACATTTCAGATTTCTTATTTCTGTTCTTCTCTGAAAAATGTCACAGTACTTGAACAGTACTGATCTGCCAGATGATGGAATACTCGAATTCATCCATATAATCACGAAAACCAAGCCATAACTTGGTACAGTAAATTGAGATTATTCATATTTAAATGTTGGCAAACATTGTGTTATGTAAAAATCACTGTTTTTCTTATAGTTGCCATTGTGATGTGAAAATAAGTGTATATAGGTTTATTGTAATCAGTAAGTTCCACATTTAAGTGGGCTGTGTATTTGGCAGGTGGCCATGTCAGGCCTGAAGCTATGAGTTTAGAGCGCTGCTTGGTGAGTCAGGGTCAGACTTGCATCTCCGCTCAGTGCTCTAAAGCAGTTCCCACGCTCCTTGCTACTGGTGGAGGAGAGATGAGAGTAGGCATACATCCTGTCACGGCATCAGTTTGACAGAAACAAACTTTTTTCTTTTTTCCTTTGTCCCACCTATATTACAGCAGCAAAACAGGGTGCTGCTGTAAGATGTCCTTAAAGTGAAGACTTCAGGATGGCCCCTTGATGTTTGTGCACTGCTTGAATAGTAAACACGTCCAGTCCCCTGACGGTTCCAAGCTCTGCAGCTCAGTAGCCTTTCTTCCTGCTAGACAGAATGTCACTGGAGACAAGGATTAGCATGCATGAGTATTCTTTTACTTTCTCTGCCTCATTCTACTTTTTACAGCCTGTTTTGTTATTTTCACATCAGCCCTCTTTCCTCTTTGTCACATTCTGTCACTGTCTCTTTATTGCTCTCTTTCAGTGGTCCTTTTATGCTCTCTTTTATTTCCTCTTTTTATTTTCTCCTCTCTCTCCCTTGTGGCTGAATGATTGTGAGTGACGTTCAGCAACTATCCGAGTATCCGAGATGCTCCCCAACGAATGGTGACACTGAGACGAAATGTACGCTGGCAGCCAGTGTGTAAACCATTCAGCTCCCAACACTTTGGACAGGCTTTTTTCCACTGCTCTATAAGACTCATTCCCCTCTGCTCTCACCCAAAAGGGAAGAGAAGAAGCCATTATCTATACCGCTGATTCCTGA